AGAGGAGAAGGAGAGAGGAAGGGAATGTAGAGAAGGGAAGGATGACAGAGGGAAGAAAGGAGGTAGGGAGAGGGAGGAGATAGGGAAAAGAAAGTGATGGATAAGGTACAAATATGGTGTATGGAGAGCAGAAGAGCCAATAATTGTTTTTGGGAGTTGATGGTAAGACAAATTGATGTAAACATTTAATAATGCAATATGATGTTGCTATGTAATAATAATAATCATCCTTCAGTGTTTTTTATCAATTCCTGACATGACTCACCCTCACTCCAGATTCCCAGCTGATCCAAAGGTCACCTCTGGTTAGAAAGCAGGCTACAGCATGCCGGGCCAGATGGTGAATCCAACCTTCCTGTCTCAGTTGAGTCATAATTGCATCAATCCAAGGGAAACCTGTCTTGCCTTCTGCCCATTTTGCCAAGGCTTCAGGATTCCTGTCCCAAGGGATCTGGATGCAAATAGGATTTCCTTCCATGCGATCAAATTTAGGATTATTTGTGGCAGCTGTGTAAAAAAATTCCCTCCAGAGTAACTGGCCATAGAGCGACAGAGGTGGACTGTTGTTCTGCTTCACCTAAAGAGGGCAAAACGTTCACGTCATATTGGATGCATTTCTGTCAGTCACCAAATCAATTCTGAGGTAATTTTGGTTCCAAATTAAACCTACCCAGGGAATAAAGTTTTAGGAAGCTTTTAATTGGAGAGCCAAGTATTTTGAGGAAACATCCACTCCAGGACCAAGGCAGCAAGCATTTTAGAATACAACAGTTCTACTGAACTCTTTACTACCTATTTGATAATCTGATAAAAATATTTGCTTTAAATATTTTTGGTCTACTGGAAATCAGGACATTCAGAATAATAAAAGCAAAACAATTTAAAATATCTGATGTAAAAGGTAATCCTATGAATGCATGTCTAGAAAGTATGAATTGAATAATTAATTCATTGTAAAATCCATTGTTTTAGATTTTATATTGCCTTATTTTCTATAGGAACAAAATATATTTATAATTTAAAAATAATACAATTTTAAAAGTGGTTTTGTTGAATTTATTTATTTGTTTGTTTCCCATAGTTATTATTGTTACAAATAAGTCAATGTAGTGCAGTGTTTTTCAACCACTGTGCCGCGGCACACTAGTGTGCCGTGACATAGTGTAAGGTGTGCCGTGGGAAAAACACCCGCCGGGTGTTTTTTCCTCGGGACATCTCTGTGTCCCGAAAGTTGCTTTCGGGACACAGA